AATAAATAGATACAAATAACAGGATTCCCAATATTTCCCCATATGTTCTGGGCTTTTGTCGTCTTCTCCCTTACTTCCAATAGTTTCCCATATTTTCTGTGGAATCGACGATTAATAGTGTCTGTGTGTTTTTGTTCCCTCCTGACTTTCATCTTTGAACGGGGGTACACTGAATCGCTCCAGGGAGGTGTCCTGGAAGGTCTGGCGTTAACCCCGTCCACTTCCGCAGGAAGTTCTGAACAGTGTGTTGTGCTGCTGTCAGCCCCTGTCAAGGGCCACCACTTCGGCTACGAATGCCGAATGGCACAACATCAAGTGTGACTCCCGCTCTATATGCTAAATTTTTGAAAGCACCTCAGCGTACGCAATCCTTGCCGCGCCTGCTGCAACACCGCTGGAGCAACGCCTGGCCGCGTACGCGCAGAGTCTCATATTGGCCTGTTCAACAATCGCTGGGGCCAACTTCCGTACCTAATTTCTGCTACAGCTGCCCACCGGGTCTCAGGAAAGGTCTGCCGAGTGGTCTGCTAGACTGCAGAAGCTATGAGGTCCTATAACTAACAGGATGACTTGCGTAATTACTGCTCCAGGCGACGAGCTACACGAACGCAAGCGGGATGCAGAAAATGACCCTTGAAAATCGCGGTGCTGGGCCAACAACATGGCGCCCTGATGATTGTCAGTGTTGAACAGGGAGAAGAAAGTTTCCCACTTCGCTTCGCGAGAACTGTCAGGGAAACTGTAGCCAGAAAGAGAAGAAGAAGCGCTAAGCTTCACTATGCGAGACCCGCGGATCACCTCACTCGGAGTGCTCTGCTCAGTCGGTGGTAACCCCCGCCTCCATCTATGCAACGTTCCATATCCTCACTGTTCTCCTCTTCCTCCTCTTCGTCTTCTTCATCTTGGACCTTGCTCTCACCCTTCTCACACTGGTCACTTCGGCTTCGTCGTTCATCTCCTGCGTCATAGCCCTCGTCCGCTAGTCTGGAGGAGACCTATCGGAAGCCATCAAGAGGCCTCCCCGAAGAGGGGGAAGGGCAAACAACAAGCAACGTCCAAATCAACGAGTTCTTGCGAAACCCGCTGGACTGGTCCCAGGCCCCCATTGGGGATGTCTTGGGCCACCGCTGGGGAGTGGACAACCAAGCAAACGCCAAACCTTCAAAGTTGGCGAAACCCGCGTCTTTGGTCCCAAACCATCTTCGGATGCTCTGGGAGCCCGACTGCGATCCCCAGAGGCGCCACAGAGACCCCACTACTTCAGCCTCTGGCAGCCTAGCCGAGATCCCGAGAGCCCCATAGGGACCCCCCCATGACTCGGTCCCATGCGGGGCCCGGGGAGGGCCCAAGAAGGGCCCAAGGCGCTCCCGGCGGGCTCAGGCGAACGAGCAAGAGGCAGGCGCAGCAGGGAAATGACGAGCAAGGAAATGAGGAGCAAGAGGAGCAGGGTGTCCACGACGACGACGCCGAGAACGGTCTCAGAGAAGCGAGAGGAGGTCCGCGCGGATTTCTTGGATCGGCGCGGGACTCCCCTCCCTGGCGCGCGGAGCGCGCCAGTGGAGGCGCTGGAGGCGCCGTCAGGGGGGGGAAAACGCCGATCCAAGAAATGCGCGCGCAGCGCTGACAGCTTATGCTTAGGATTGAGGACGGTTGAGGAGGACAGGGGTGAGTGACGAGGTGGGAAAAGCGATGCTGCTGCGGCCCTGTGCCTCCGGCGAGCACTTTGCGGTGCACAGCCGGCGGGGCGGACCAGGGCAGCGGGAGACGGACCTCGCGGCCGCCAGGGTACAGCATCAAGACGTCTCTTCCACACCCAGCCAACTTCGACGGCGGCGAGCCCAGGGGGGAAGTGAGAGCGGGTAGTGAAGGGAAACTGGGACACACAAATAAATACACACAAATAAAAACATCCCCCATATTTTCCTATATTTTCTGGGTTTTTGTCTTCCCCCCCACTTCCCATATGTTCCCATATTTTCTGGGAATCGCCGATTAATTGTGTCTGTGTGTTTTTTTCCCCTCCTGAGGTAGGCCTTCCTGGAAGGCGGCGGGGCTCCTCAGAAGCAAGAAGCCCTCGCGCCCTGCGAGGAGCTGCCTGTCCCGTGGGGAAGGTCTAGGAAACGCCCCAGAAAGGCCCGGGGCTTCTCCTTCTCCTTTTCCTGCTCTTCTTCCTCCTCTTTCTCCTCCTTCTTCCCTCTTCTCCTCCTCCTCCTGTTCCTCCTCCTTCTCCTCCTCCTCCTCCTCTTCCTGCTCCTCCTCCTTCTTCTCCCTCCCTCCTCCTCCCTCCGCCTCCTCCTCCCCTTCCCCCCCCCCTGGGCTCGCCGCCAAGTGGTCCGCGGGCGCATGAATAACACAACGCGCTGGTAGACCGGAGCGATGAAGTGTCTACTCCGCGGGCTTCCCGCGGGTGGAACATCGCGATGGATCGGCGGGGCCCACGGCGCAGAAGCGTTGACCAACTGTGGGCCAAGCAGGGATCCCCGAAAGGGGGTCAACATTGTGCCGAGCTGGCAAACAGAACACCGGCAAAGCCTGCACTTCCGCTGATGCTGCGGCACACGCCGTGAAAGGACGCGGGAGCAATGAAACTTGTTCTAGGACGGATGGCGCACGCCGAACTCGCCATGGCGCTCCAACGCGCGCCGACACTAGTGACCCCAGCGTTTGACACCGAGGCAGGCCTAACAAAGTTCAAAGAAAACGAATCGTGATGCGACTAACTAAAGGATATCGTGTTGCGACTTTCTGAAGGATCCCACGACCCTGCGATCGGTACGATCGAAATGGGTACGGAAAAAATGGGCACGAAGGCAAAAAGCAAATTCCTGCCCACTGCGAACAGGATTCGACCTCGATGCCGCCGCAGACGCCGTCCATTTGAGACAGAGGGCCGCCTGCCGAACAGCGGCCGCTGTCGGTTTTGGACAGCATGTGTCGGTGGGCATCGTGCCCATTCTTTCCGTACGCGTCGTTCATTTCTCGTCGTACTCATCTCTACTTGTGCTCGTTTCAAACTCTTCCTGGCCCCCATAGTGGCCGGGAAGAGGCCCAGGATTAGAGCCATCCGAAAGGAGAGGAGCGTGGCCCCCCCAACAAAAAAATCAAAGAACTTTCGAATAATTCGGCATGAAGAACGTGTACCCCTTTCGGGCGTCCAAGTGGAGGCGAAACTCGGACCACGAACCGGGCCCTCGCTGCGCCGACAGGGTCTCGAGACCTCGCGGGGTGGCCGCTGCCCAGGGGGCGACGAGGGGGGGCGAGCAGCCCGGGGGAGGGCAACGGCACGCAGGAAGGATACTACTTCTTCCCTGGAGATGTCGATATGAGGACGTCTGGATCGCTCGTCAAGGGCCTCCATGTCTGGATCGTTCCGCCTGAGACACCCTCGTGAGAAGATAGCATGTTCGCGGCAGTGCCCGTTGTAGATGTAAGCGTTCCACTCGAAACATGCTGGGTCGCGGATTTGACGATGTTTCGAGCCTGCGCGCTTCGCTTGAGACGTCCCCTCCGAACTAGCAACAAGGACTACTCATGGCGCTGTGCGTGATCTGAAGGTCAGAGCTACGAGAGGCACTCTGGAGGGTGATGCTGACTTTCGGCCTCCCCGCCCGCTGTGGCAATTTGCCACGTCCAGTCCCAGGGAGAATGATTTTTCACGGGCGAAGAACGGTATAAAATAAACTTTTTCGCTGTCGGGGGCGCCTGCCCCTGGGCGGCTGGAAAGTTTATACCTTTACGGTGGCACCGTAGGGGTATAAACTCTCCAGCCGCCCAGGGGCAGGTGTCCCCGACGGCGAAGAAGTTTATGTTACACCGCTCTTCGCCCGCTGAGATTTGTATATACACACCTCAGACGTAAAGGGATGGGGGGGACTCTCTCCTCATCTTGGTTGTCCCCAAACGTGGTGGTGACAACACCTGGCGGTGAGTCTCGGGCGATTTGGTGTCACCACCCGGTTTGGGGACTCGTGCGGTGTTCCGAGGATGTCCCGGACGCTGGTGGGCCCAGGAGTCACAAGACCCGGCGGTGACCCCGCGTCCCCAAACCCAGCTGTGACCTTCTTGGGGATTCCAGGTCGCCACCTGGTATTGGGCGCCCGAGTTATCCGGGGTAACTCGGGTCCGGGGTAAGTCGGGTTTGGATTCCCGAAAAAAGGAACCCGAGTTAGCCCTGACCCGAGTTACCCCTGATGATTCGGGGCTCTGGACGCCCGAGTTATCCGGGGTAACTCGGGTCCGGGGTAAGTCGGGTTTGGATTCCCGAAAAACGAACCCGAGTTATCCCTGACCCAAGTTACCCCTGATGATTCGGGGCTCTGGACGCCCGAGTTATCCGGGGTAACTCGGGTCCGGGATAAATCGGGTTCGGAATCCGGAAAAACGAACCCGAGTTATCCCTGACCCGAGTTACCCCTGATGATTCGGGGCTCTGACCAGCTGTGACCTTCTTGGGGATTCCAGGTCGCCACCTGGAATCTCACCACCCGGTTTGGGGGGTCCCAATCATCACCCTCGGCCTGCGCCGCGCCCTCCCTGTCGGGACACGGGCGCCGCCGCTCCCGCCGGCGGGGCCGCCGGCGGGGCCGCACGGGCCGCGGGCGGCTCTCCGCGGCTTCCGCGGGCGCCGGCGCCCGCGGGCGGCCGGCCTCCGCGGGCGCCGGGCCGACCACGCCGGCGGACGAGGAGGAGGAGGAGGAGGGCGGAGGAGGATGAGAGGAGGAGGAGGAGGAGGGAGAGGATGAGGAGGGGGAGGAGGGAGGAGAGGAGGAGGAGGAGAGGAGGAGGAGGAGGGAGGAGGAGGAGGAGGAGGAGGAGGAGGGGGCCTCGTCTCGAGGCGGGCGCCGCGGAGGGCCGCCGGCGCGCCCGCCGCCAGGTCCGATCGTGTCGAAGCGGCGTGCACCCGGGGTGGCCCGCCTGCCGCAGCCGCGGAGGTCTGGCCACGGTGCCCGCGCGCGCGGCGCCAGGCCGTGGGGCGGGTGGCCGTGGCGCGGCCGCGGCGGTCACGGCGAGTCCGCCTCTGCCGGCAGGCCCCTCAGGCGACTGGCGACGCAGTCGTTGACGTCGTTGAAGTTGGTGTCCATGAGCCACCGCATCAGCCGCAGGAAGGGCCAGAACTCCAGCCTGGGGTGGCCCTTCGGGCCCTTGGGGTCCAGGGAGGCCAGCTTCTCCTGCAGCATCCCCTCGCTCTCGCCGATGTGCACGCCCAGGAACCTGATGAGCTTCCGGGCCCCGTCGCCTGGCAGCAGGTAGGGCGCCACGCCCCTCTCGGGGAGACCAGGAGGTACTGGCGCCACTACTCCCTGGACCTCTCCCGGGGTGCGTTCTGACCAGAATGTCGAGGCGAATCCAACGGTGGCGACGAAGGCCTCCCAGGAGGCTCGGAAAGGCGAACACGAGGCAAGGGTATCGGTGCCGGTACCTGTTCCTCCCCTGACCTCTGGAGCCCGGTAATGAACTCCGGGTTGGGCTTCGCGTAGTGCCTGAAGACCTGGTGGAACTGGTCGACCTCGACCTCGCTGAAGCGCAGCTCGCAGCAGAGGGCCCGGAGCTGCGCGTCCTCGCTCCGGTCCTGCTCGTCGTGCAGCAGGCGCAACAGCTGCACGAAGACCCAGAAGCTCGTCTCGCCATCGCTGCCGATGGCGCCTGGCATCCCCGTCGCGCGGGCGCGCTCGGTGGCCATCTGCATCTTTGATGCCAGCAGCAGCTGTTCCTGTTTGTCTGTAGGGCCCCAAGCGAACATGTTCAAGATCGTCTCCATCTCGAGCACACCGATGAAGCCGGTCTTGTTCCTGTCGTGCGTGTCGAAGACCCTGCGGAAGAATCCGAGCTCGTCCTCGGTGAAGCCGGCCTTGACGCGCTCCCTCTCCACGAAGTCCACCCGCGTGGCGTCGAGGATGCCGATGAAGTCGTCCAGCCTCAGCTTCGTGCTCGTCGCCGGCCGCGCGCCCGCCGCGGCCTCGGCGCTGTAGCCCAGCTGCTCCAGTGCCCTGCCGAGGTGCTTCTGGTCCATCACCTGCTCCAGCTCCTTGGTGGCCCCCGCGCGGACCCACCGCGCCTCTGAGGAGGAGGAGGGAGCTGCACAGGCACAGGCGCTCGGAGGTCCGCGCGGAGCTCTGGGATCTGCGCGGAGGCCCCCTCCATGGCGCGCGGAGCACGGCAGGGGCGCTGCCGGAGTCGCCGCCAGAGGGGTCCAGCGCAGATTTCAGAGCTTCGCGCGGAGCTCTGAGAGTTGATGCTTCTGCCGCTCGTGTCTGGCTCGAGCCTTCTGCTCAAACACTCTCTGAGCCTCCTCGCACGCCCCCTCCTTGAAGCAGCGCATGAGGTGCAGAAACTCGCGCCAGTCGAGCTGCCCGCTCTGGTTGATGTCGGCGGCGATGATGTAGGAGTGCACGTCCGAAGTGGAATGTCTGTAGCCCAGGTAGCGGAGCAACTTGCTGAGCTCGCTGGTGCCGACCTCGCCGCCATGTTTGCTGGGACTGTGTTTTGTGGTTGTGTTCTTGCGATTTTGGATTCGTGTTTTGTGTTTTGTTGGGACGGTTTGGATTCGACCTCGCCGCTGTTGTCCTCATCGTGGTCTTGGAAGACCCGCCTGAAGGCCTCCACCTCCGCCTTCAGGAACCCCTCACGCTGGTGGAAGACCATCAAGAAATCGAACCCGCCGGCCCCTCCTGACGCTGTGGGGGGCCTACCGGCTGTGAGCGGTGGCGCTGGCGCTGGCCTTGGTATTGGAGCTGCGACGTAGGGGTTTGGAAGTTTGCTGCGGTCGTGCTTTTTGTTGGCTGGGCACATCGCAGCGGCAGCGCGGGCGGCACGCCATGCCTTGCAAGCGGATGGAGTGTCACTCCGCTCCACGGGCCTGGAGGGTCGGCTAAAGCTCGGGACGTTGATGCCTGGGGGCTCGGGCGGTTCGCGTGTCGCGCCGAAACAATGTGCGCCCGAATGTCGCCCCAAGGCGGCTACTGGTGGCCCCGGGACCTCCCCAGGACACCACCTGGACACCACCGAGAGTCAAACATCAGATGCTGGGTATATCGCCTTGTCGCTGCCAATGGGCCTCTGGCCTGTCCGATGAAGAAAAACGCACCACAGCATAAAACGTTCGGAGGTCTGCGCGGACACTCTTGGATCGGCGCTGAACCCCTCTCCCTGGCGCGTGGAGCGCGCCAGAGGCGGTGGCCGAGGCGCCACCTGGGAGACCCACCGCATATCCAAGAAAATCCCCGCGGAAATCCGTATCAAATTCAAAAAAAAATGCGTATGCCACTTTTCCGTTTTCGATCCATACGGCCCCAAAATCGCTCAGGAGTGCCAAAGACGGTCCCAGGAGAAACCGAGCATGGCCCCACGAGCTCACCTATATAGCCCCACGAGGCGATCCTGGAGGTTCCAGGGGTGCGGGAGTCATTCGACCACCACCTCTTTGATCGATGTTCTCGACGATGGCCCCAAGAGAGCCTCCCAAGGCCGCCGAAAGGTCTCCAACTGGCCCCCCAAGGCTCCCAAATGACGCCAAGAGGGCCCCTAAAAAATAACCAAGAGGACCTAAGAGCGACAATTTGCTCCTGCCGTCGTCTTTCTTCTCGACGTTCTTATTGATGTCGTCGTCGTCCCCCGTTCCTCCTCCATCATCCTCCTGCTCTGGTCCTTCCTCTGCCTCCTCCTCCGCTCTACCACGCGTTCTCCTCCTCCTCCTCCGCCTCCTTCGATGGCTGGCTAAGCAATTCCACCCTAGGGTGCGCTCAAGCTGACCCAAGCCTCTGATCAAGGCAGCTCACCTGGCGATCGTCTCGGGACGGGGCGGTGGACATACCTGACGCGCCAGTGACTTCACAAGGCTCCCCGCTAACAGGACCACGATATCATGCAGAGCACGTTGCGCCCGCGCTAACGAGCCAATAGGCCCTTGCAGATCATGCCGGATCCGATCCCCCAGGGCCAGGCCCCCCCGTGAATCGCGTCGCCCGTTCTGCCAGGGCCACAGTGCAGAGTAGGCATAACGGGTGGACATGCTCCCTGGCAACGTTTGCGCGCTGGAGGAAAGGAACCAACAAAACTGTGGGCGATGTCGTACGGCAAACGTCGCCACAAATCCAACAGCAGCCGCTGTGTGACAGGCGACTTCTTGTGTCAAACGGGCCACCAGCGCAGTGACAGCGACAGCGACAGCGACATGTCCAAAACGTGCTCGTCCTCCTCTTCCTCCTCCTCCTTCGCCTCCGCTCCTCCTGGTCTCCATCCGAGGCCAGTCGGAAGGGCGGGTCTGGCGTTTTGCCTGAGACTTCCATGCCATGTGGGAGCCTGGACCTTAGAACTTGGCAGCAGTTCCACAGATGGAGGGCGGGCCGCTTCCGCACAATGGCTCTCGCCCTTAGCGCCGCACGCATTGGCTTCAACGATTGCACGAGTTTGGCGAATGTAAGGCGGGCCGTTTTCAACATGTGGCGCTCGCAAAAAAAAACCGCGCATTCCTGTAGAAACTTTGCAAGGGCTTCTCACATGAAGGGCGGCACGTTTGCAAAATGTAGCTCTCGCCTCAGCGCCGCGCATGTTCCTTTGAATATTTGCAAGAGTTGCACGGGCTATTGAGCGCGGGAGGTTTCCAACACGTGGTTCCCGCCTGATCGCCGCGCACATTCGTTCAGTGAAATTTGCAAGAGGACCACGGTTTGAGGGCGGCTCGCTTTTGTAAAATGTGGCACTCGCCTTAGCGCCGCACGCATGTGATTAAAGATTTGCAGGAGCTTCACATGTTGAGGGCGGCTCGGTTTCAAAATGCGGTTCGCGCTTTAGCGCCGCGCATTTCGTTCTACAAGGTAAGAAGGTGTTCTCGGATCGAGGGCGGTTCCTTTTCAGCATGTGGATATTGCCTTAGCGCCGCGCGCACTCGCTTTAAACAATTGCACGTGTTTCGCGGGCTCGCATGGCTGATTTCCCCAAACGGGTGTTTTTTGAACGATTGGTTCGCGGTGTTGAATTCCCAGGAACGGCATTCTGGCGCGATTCAGGATCGTCTAGGCGCAACAGTCAGGTTGAATCGTGGCGTTCAAATCCTGGAAATCGTGTTTTGGGCACGCTTCAGGATGTTCACACGGTTGTCTCCCAACGGGGCACTTCCCCCAGTGTAAGTGAACCCATGTGGGGGCATATGAAGAGGGAGCTTGTGAACGCTTTCTTATTCGGCGTGTCGACATTACGCGGAAGGAGGGGCGGTAGGGGGGGTCTGACTCAGGAGCTCTGCTGAATGCGATTGTTTGCAGCAGTGCGTCCACCTGCTTGAGTCAGGCTCCAAGAACAATCAACATCTCCCCGATAGGGGGGTACGCGGGCCCGCGCCGATCGGCAACACAGTGGATAACGAAACGACCACCTTGGCGGGAGGGTGCTTTCCAACATCGTTGATGACTCTTGGGTTTACGTTGGTCCTCCTCCTTCTCCTCCACCTCCTCCTGGTCCTCCTCCTCCTCCTCCTCCTCCTCATCCTCCTCCTCCTCCTCCTCCTCCTCCTCCTCCGCCTCCTCCTCCTCCTCCTCCTCCTCCTCCTCCTCCCTCCCCCCCCTCCCCCTCCCCCTCCCCCTCCTCCTCCTCCTCCTCCTCCCCTCCTCCTCCTCCTCCTCCTCCTCCCTCCGCCTCCTCCTCCTCCTCCTCCTCCTCCTCCTCGGTTCCTCCTCCTCCTCCTCCTCCTCCTCCTCCTCCTCCTCCTCCTCCTAGCCGTTCTGGCCCAAGTGTTTGGGCGTGCGTTCACCAACGATTCAGAACGGCTGGGTGAACGCGGGCCAATTGTTGGCTCGGTCTCCCTTTCCCTAGACCACATAGCACGGCGGTGCCATGGCAGGTGGCAGCTGGACGTGGAACTCGCATGAAGGGTCGCGGCGCGACCCAGCAGGAAGTGAGAATCGGAAGTGTGCCCACCCCGACTGCGGCTGTGGCAAGAACCGCAGCTGGTTCACCTGGTGCAAGCACTGCCGCCGCCCTAGGTACGAAGTCGTCGACGGCAAGCTCGGCGACCACGCTGGTGAGGCGGGCGGCGGCAGGAAGAACTGGCAGCGTGGGGGTGGTGGCGGGAAGGCGCTCGCGCTCATCGGGGGCGCAGGCATGCCGCCCGACATCACCATCGGAGAGATCGGCGCGCTGCTGGCCATGGCCACCAAGTTCGGGGACGAGGGCGCGAAGACCCAGTATCAAGTTTGGAGGAAGCAGAAGCTGGACGCTACCGAGGTGCCTGTGGAGAAGCCCTTGGAAAGACAGGCCAACGAGGCGCCCCAAAAGGTCCGCATTTTGGCGAAGAGGCTCACACGCGAGCTCGACAACCTCGAGAAGGCCAAGAAGTGGCTGGCCGACTGCACCACGGCAGCTGCCGACGCCCAGGCCGAACTCGAGATCCAAGGCAAGCTGCAGAAGGACCTGGTCTCGCGGCTTCACCAGGCGGTCATCCAGCCTTCGCCTGTCGCTGTTCCTCCTGTTCGTGGTGGCATCAGCATTCGCGACGTGCTGGAGGGCAAGCCCGACGCCATCGTGCTCACAGACGACGAAGAGCTCCTCGCCCTGGACGACACGGGCTATGAATTGTCGGCTTCCGGCCGCGAGGAGTTCCAGAAGCGTCGCGCTGAGCTCCAGCAGGGCCTTGCCACACTCATCAAGGAGCTGTTCTCCAGCATGGTTGCCTCGATCGACAAGATTCGAGCCGACCGCGCTGACTACGTCAAGAGAGCCACCGCCAAGAAGCGCAAGGCCGGAGACGCGGGAGAAGCAGCCTCTGCGGCAGCCCCAGGGCCCCCAGCACGCGAGCCTGCTGACGGGGGTGATGGACCAGGTCTTCAGAAGGATGGGGGCGGTGCTGCAGATCGAGGTCACGCAGCCCCTGACCCCGCTCATGAGCCTGAGCCCACCGCCGCGGACGTTCGTGAGAGGGCTCGCGCCGTACTTGCGACACCTCCTGCGGCCGCGGCTTCAACCTGAACCCCCCTCGCTCCCCAGCACGGCCCGTTTAGAGCCAGAGGTGGCGAGGAGGGCCAATGCCAACGCTAACGTTTTGATGGGAGATTTCTCTCCCGCTATTTCAAGGCTCGTTCGCCTACCCGCCTCCAAGGTCTCAGGGTCCCAGCTCGCTCGGACAGTTTTGAACTGTGTTTAGAGACCGTAAATTGCACTGGCTGGGGTAGTGCGAAGGCCTGGCTATTCAGGACTAGCGCATACGTGGTTTTGATTCAAGAAACTCACCTGGCCAGCGACGTCCAGGTGGGTGAGGCCTCCCAGTGGGCCGTCCGTTCTGGTTGGAAATCTAGTTTCTGCCGTCTTCCAGGGGAGATGGTCAGGGCTCCTCTGGTGGCGTTGCTATCCTGGCCAGGGAGTTCTTGGGCTTCCACGACGTACCCGAAGGGCCTTGTGTTGTCCCGCATAGAGTTGCCGCCGCTGTCGTTCAAGTTCCAGGATGCTTGGGATTCTTGGCCGCCAGTGGGGAGATCCGGAGGGCCTTCCGGAAAAGAACCTCGACGTGATCTCATCTGCTGGGGCGTTACTTTCGTCGTACCAGGGTTGTTTCATTCTCGGTGCTGGCTTTGAGATTGAACCTGATGAGCTGGCGGCGTCGAAACTAGTCTGCATCCTGCCTGCTAACATAGTTTACCCATGTACTGGCACTCCTA